ACAAACTTTCCCCATCAGATCTCATTCAATTTCATAAAAGAGAATTTGCTTTTGCTTTTTTTTAAAAGGAGAAAAGAACTCTTGTGAAATTATCATGGGTGGAATGTAGACTTCTTGGACTTATTTAATTATGGGGTGGTATGTGGATGTGTAGGAATGTCCTGTTGTTCATTACTGAATTCTCTGTCTGATGTCCTGCATTTTCCTGGCTCATGCTTCAATTACATTTTAATTAAATTAAAAAAACAACAGCTTTTTGCAGATGTCAAAAAGTCGAGCTGGCAGTGACACGTGTGTGATTGAAGCCCTGCCCCCCTTTTAATGAGCGTTACATGGGTGATGCATGGAAAAAAGGTGCAGGGTTTCAAACAAATAGGTACAGACACATCCTGCAGAGCTCACTGATTTCAAAGGAAAATATCAGGAGAACAAAAGTTTCCAATCGACTTTTTCTGTGTGGGCAGCCAGGGAGGCTTTTGATCAATGGAAACAGGAATACTAGATAACCACACAAATATTAACATCCTCCACCACCTTCAACGGTACAATAAGCTCAAAAGCACCACCCAGAGAAATAACAGCAACAACAGCAACAGAAAACACTCAAGCAATCAGAGAATAAAGTGGCTCCTTATCATTAATTCTTTCATTCAAAGCTGAAAGGGTAATATTTCAACATGTTTCTTTTGGGTGGGGGGACAAAAGCAATTGAGTGACCAGCAGACATAGACAGCTGGAGAGGAAAGAAGTGAATAGCCCTCATCTCTTTCCAATTCAAAGCCATTTCCAACCTCTTGGAAGTACAATCCAAGAATTACAGGTTAAATATAGTTCAACCTACAAAACGTGACCAGTGCTGAGAAGGAAAATTACTGGCACTCAATAAACAAAATATGTCTAGATTTTTTTAAAAGTTAGAATTCATCTGCCAATTCACCTGCTTTTTTCAAAAGTACTTTCTTCTGTTAGACTTAGATGGCTGCTAGTAAACATCTTTTTTTAAAAAAATCTCTCTCTCTGGTTTTTATGAACGTTTCATAACTAAAATAAAATTAATATATTTGAAGACCTAACACCATTTCTACAGCAATAACATATTTCAAAACATAAAAGTCTATAAATGCAGAAAAACATTTTTAAAGCAGCAAGATAACAATATAACTCAAAACATGTCTTCCAACTCATCCACCTAGACTTCAGAGTACAGGCTCACTTTTATTTCTTGGGCTTTATATTATATTTCTACTTGGATCTCTAGAGGAAAATATTTCAAAGGTGGTTTACAAGAAATATGCTCAACAAAAGACAAATTACATCGTAAAAAGAGCTTAAGATAAATTCATTAACTGTGGACAAACAATATATATACGTGTCTTCTGAAGAGCACCAGTAAGGTTTGACCTCATTAAAACCTTAGCAAAGTTCATATGATCTGGCTAAAGGTTACTTACATCACAAGATCAGTTGCATTTTATTTTTAGTGAGTAATTCATGCTAACCTGGAGCAGCTCCATGTTGACCTGGAGCAGCTCCATGTTGCTAGGACTGATATGTGCTAATCCTTGTCTTTTTAGAAATATTTGTGAATTGTCATTGAAGCCATTGGACTTTTGGGGAACTTTCAGCTGAATGTGCTTCTGGTAAAACTGCTGCTCTCAGACTCAGCAGAATATTGTCTCTATCTTGCTATTAGGCACTCCTTATTTACTGGAGCACAGCTCGTCACCTGTTAACTTACATAGAGGACTTTTACATTCATAAAGCTTTCTTGTTTGACCATCACCTGTTAGTTTGCTAGACTGAGTGAGTGAGCAGATTGGCCATGGTTATTGACATGATGGCTAATGCACTCTAACCTAAGTGGGAAAGCCATTGGTTGCTGTGATAGTTTTGCACCTTTTTTGAACAGATATGAATGCCTCTATAGGTTGCAAAAAAAAAAAGGAATACGCCAGGCTGGTAAGCTGAAGGGGGAAAATGAGTTGGATTACTCTTGTGGTCACACACAAAAAGGAAGGAATATTCCAGAATGAATAACTATTGCTGGGCCTCTGTGGCAGAAATGCCCTGTGGCCAGATGGGAGGGGGTGATCCTCAGCAGGCCAGTAGAAGTCCTGCAGGATGCTGTCTCCAAAGATTTCTTCTTCATGGCTCACAGAATGTTTGCATAGGAACTTTTCTTCTATTTTACAGTGGAAAACAACATTTTCCTGCCAGGCTGAGCATTAGGCTGGCATTGAAATAAAGTCTATGTTGTGAAGCAATAAGAAAGTGGCCTGTCTCAAAACCCAGGCAAAAAAACTGCATGGGGGAGTCCTTAGAAAAGACTAGATACGTAGCTATTGGTGAAACGGAAAGTCCATTTCTGATATATTAACAACACTTGATAGGACTAAACAATTGAAGAAGTGGTAGATTTATGCCTAGCCCATGTGCTCCTTGATAGCATGTGGCTGTCCCAGCCCTCTTCAATCTTCTTCCCTGCAGATATGTCCAAGACCAACATACATTGGGAAATTTGGGCTAGCAAATATAAGCAGCTGGAAGCTCTAAAATGAATCCTAGAAGGCCAGCTACCTAAAATGCCCAATGTTTTCCTGTGCAGATCATTCTAAAACAGAGTTTAAAGTGGTATCTTTGCAGAAGCTATCCTATTCAGAATACAACTTCTTCAGTTATAAAACATGAATCTAATTAAAAATTAATGCAACCAACTTTTAGATTGCTGCATTTTTAGGAAATATAAGGCATTTTTCATGTTTAAGGTTTGACCTCTTCCTGTACCTTCCCGTTTTCACTTTCAGCTCCTACACTTACATTTTCATTTTGGCTTCACATGAAAACAGCTACTTGAAAATAATTAGATGCTACCTAAACAGCTCATCAGCCCTTTCTGTGGTCTATCTATAGATGTTAGTTCACTATTTAGACAACCTTCCATCACTTTCTCCCTCCATCAGTGCCCCAAAACATGACCGAGGTGACATCGCAGGGACAGCATCATATATTGCTAGCTGTGCTGATTTCAGAAAGCACTTGTATGTGTTACATAAAAGTATTTGCTACAATAAGACAATGTTGGAGAATAGTGTTTACTTACTATGAGGCCATGGGATGTTTTATCCTCACAACATGCCGTATTTCTTGAATATTATGATCTATGTCAAGTCTGTCCTCTGTGTCTTCAGCATAGTCACTGTCCTCTGTATCCAGGCTGTTGCTGCGATAATCCTGTAGTTCTTCTTGTTCTAAACGCTTCCATCCCTTTGTCATTTCTGTTACTAGATTGGAACACTTTCTCCTTCTTGTAGGAGACACTTTACTACTAAGAATTTGATCAATATTTTTAGGGTCATTGGTGATCTTTCCTGTCTCAGCAAATTCATCTTTTTCATATTTGTTGCTGAGGAGACCAATGTCACTGCTTCTTTCAGAGAGTGTCCTTGCTACGGTTTTGGTAACTTCTTTACTTCTAATGTTAAATTTCTCAAGAGCTTCTGATGACTCACGTGGACTTTGTTCTCCATCTTTGTTTGACACTTGCTGTTTCAGTGGAAACTGTATCTCATCTTTTGACTGATGTTTGGGAAACATCTGCTCTCTTGGGGCATTTGGTGATTTCTCTTCATTAGGCACCCATCCACTAGGTTCCTGTGCTTGCTTTGTGTTGTGTTCAGTTGCCCATTGCTGCCAACCTCGGGCCAAGCTGATAACTAAGCTAGTCATTCGGATCTTTTTGATGGCCCTCTTGGCAGGTGTGGCACACTGATGTTCTTCTGGAGGCATGGCTTTGTCTATGGTTTCCCAATCTTTGCTTGTGTTAAAACTCACTTAGTGCAGATTGTCCTGTAGCAAATAACAAGCAGGGAAGAATTGTGGAGATTTAAATAGATGGAAGGGTGGGCTGCATGAAGTCAGAAAGTATGTGAAGCATTTCTCACGTAGAAGGAATATCCTTATTCTGACAGTGATCTTTTTTTAAAAGGCCCAACTTGTATTTCACCACAGCAGATGGACACTTGATATGGTAAATATGAGTGACGTAGATCCCCCATGTCTCAGATGCAGCTGTGATGGAAACTAACAGTGTTTGTACATGTCTTCTCTCGAAGCACCTTAGTTATACATTTAATTTGACAGTGGAACATGTTCATGCTTTGCCTTACTCAAAAAATGGCCCTTGCCTAATGGGATATTTTCTCTTTTCTGGCTCCAGAAAAGCAAATGAAAGCATTTGGAATTACAGTTCCAGAGGCTTTTGCTTTTCACTAACTTACTTTGTGGCTTCGTAACAATGCCAGATTATTAAGCCCATAAAAGGTGACTCTGATGCAGCTCTTCATTCCATGAAGCCAATCGGCTGTGCCTCCTGAAAGGAAAGAAACCATGTATTGTCGAAGGCTTTCATGGCCAGAATACAATGGCTGGTGAGGGTCTTCCGGGCTGTGTGGCCATGTTCTGGAAGTTTTGTTTCCTAACGTTTTGCCAGGATCTGTGACCGGCATCTTCAGAGGGCAGGAGCACAGACAGGAGCAGTTCTCTCTGTGCCCAGGATGATGTGCCCCTGTTGTGGGTATTTATAGAGATCAGCAAGGGTGCCTGAAGGAGGTGGGGGGGCGAGGGGGGTTTGGGTTAATGAGTGGCTGGGGGTTTGTTTTTGTGTGCAAATTTTGTTTATTTTTATAAAAAAAAAAAAACACCAAACTTTAACACAAAAAAAAACACACCACCTAACCAAACACCCAC